TTTCTTAAATTTGTCTATTTGCACTGAATATCTTTAGCCCTTACTTAAATAACTTTTGCATTCAAACGATCTCTTTTTGTACTAATATGAAATGGTTAGCTAGAACCTAAAACAAAATCTTTGTTGAAGAAAGCGCGGTCTAGTGATCAAGATAAGTTGTAATGACCTGAGTAACTTGCCGCTCCTAAACCAATAACTATACGCATTTTTTACGTACCTACCTAACTATCCTATTGAATTAAAATATATGTACGAGTAGGCATTCGTTTTGTGATCCGTTTTGTGATCCGTTGAATGAGTCGAACAGCTGTTCAATCATATTTATAAAGATAGCTGTCCCGTGTGCATTCCTCCAGCAATGCTTTATTTCCTGTAAAAAAAAACCTTATAAATACAGAGGCTAGTTTAAACTACAGTAGCCAGCCATATATATTACATGTAATAACTAATATACTAAGCTAGCACCCGGCGCGTTGCAGCCGCGGAAGAAATAATTCTAAAAATATTATTGTAAATTTGGAAGAGTAATGTCGGTTAATTAAGAATAATATTACACAAGTTGTAATTGATTATATTATGACCTTTAAATAAATTTGTGGGTACGATACGCGCACCACATATTGTAACTTAATTGTACTATGTTTATAAACTGCAAAAGTTAAAACAATAAGTTGAACAAAGTTTAAGCGCAATCTGATGAACTGTATGACAGCGCTTAAAATGCGAACAAACAAACATTAATTTTTATGTATTAGGTAATATATACCGCGGGGCGAAAAGCTAGTAGTATATGTAATGTAGTAGCTTTTCGCCCCGCGGTGTTACGTAACCAATTTTCAAGTAACAAAATTCGTTTGATAATTTTTCACCATACATATACATATAAGCCCAGTAGCTCAGATGGTTAGCGCTTACTATAAATTTCACAGTACGCGATTAACCCGAGTTCGATCCCTGCCAGCAGCAATGAAACTATCGATTGCAATTTTAAGTGCTGATTTACAACGTGCTCGGCCGCGAAAGAAAATATCTTTAGGAAACCAGCATGTCTAAGAAATAGGAAAAATATATTTCAAAGACATATTTTTATTTTTTTGTAGGATAGTGTGACAAACGAGCACACAGTTCACCTGGTGGTAAGTGGTTGTTGTGACCTATAGACATCTACATCTATTCTCGATTACAAATCAAAATGCAGATGCGTTGTCACCCGCGAGGACTAAGATGTTGCTTATATACTTGCTTATATACTTGCTTTTTTACTTGCTTACGTACTTGCATATATACTTGCTTATTTACTTATATACTTGCTTGAATAATTGCTTATTTACTTGCTTATCTACTTACTTATATACTTGCTTATTTACTTCCTTATATACTGGCTTATTTATTTGCTTATTTACTAGCTTATTTACTTGCTTATATACTTGCTTATATACTTGCTTATATACTTCCTTATTTACTTGCTTAAACACTTGCTTATAAACTTGCTTATATACTTGCTTATTTACTTGCTTATATACTTGCTTATATACTTGCTTATATACTTGCTTATTTACTTGCTTATATATATTATCTTCACACAAAAGAGTTATATATATATATACTATATATATATTGTATTGCGCACGAACGCCACGCACGCCACGCACGCCACGCACGCCACGAACGCCACGCACGCTACACACGCCACGCAAGCCACGCACGCCATGCACGCCACGTACGCCACGCACCCCAAGCACGCCACGCACGCCACGCACGCCACGCACGCCACGCACTCTACGCACGCCACGCACGCCACGCACGCCACGTACTCCACGCACGCTTCGCACGCCACGCACGCCACGCACGCCACGCACGCCACGCACGCCACGCGTGCCACGCATGCCACGCACGCCACGCACGCCACGCAAGCCACGCACGCCACGAACGCCACGCAAACCACGCACGAAACGCACGCCACGCACGCCACGCACGACACGCACGCCACGCACGCCACGCATGACACGCACACCAAGCACGCCACGCACGCCACGTACGACACGTAAGCCACGCACGCCACGAACGCCACGCACGCCACGCACGCCACGCACGCCACGCATGACACGCACTCCACGCACGACACGCACGCCACGCACGCCTAGCACGATACGCACACCACGAACGCCACGCACGCCACGCACGCTACGCACGCCACGCACGACACGCACGCCACGCACGCCACGCATGACACGCACGCCACGCACGCCACGCATGACACGCACGCAACGCACGCCACGCACGACACGCACGCCTCGCACGTCACGCACGCCACGCACGCCACGCACGCCTCGCACGCCACGCACGCCACGCACGCTACGCACGCCACGCACGACACGCTCGCCACGCACGCCACGCATGACACGCACGCCACGCACGCCACGCACGCTACGCACGCCACGCACGCCACGCACGCCACGCATGACACGCACGCCACGCACGCCACGCAAGCCACGCACGCAACGCACTCCACGCACGCCAAGCACGCCACGCACGCAACGCACGCAACGCACGCCACGCACGCCACGCACGCCACGCACGCCACGCACGCAATGCACGCTTCGCATGACACGCACTCCACGCACGCCAAGCACGCCACGCACGCCACGCACGCCACGCACGCCACGCAAGCCATGCACGCCACGCACGCCACGCACGCCAGGGACGCCACGCACGCCACGCACGCCACTCATGACACGCACGCCACGCACGCCACGCACGATACATACGACACGCAAGCCACGCACGCTACGCACGCCACGCATGACACGCACGCCACGCACGCCACGCTCGACACGTACGACACGCAAGCCACGTACGCCACGAACGCCACGCACGCCACGCACGCCACGCATGACACGCACGCCACGCACGCCACGCACGACACATACGACACGCAAGCCACGCACGCCACGCACGCCACGCATGACACGCACGCCACGCACGCCACGCACGACACATACGACACGCAAGCCACGCACGCTACGAACGCCACGCACGCCACGCACGCCACGCATGGCACGCACGCCACGCACGCCACGCTCGACACGTACGACACGTACGCCACGCACGCCACGCACGCAACGCACGCCACGCACGCCACGCATGACACGCACTCCACGCACGCCAAGCACGCCACGAACGCCACGCACGCCACGCACGCCACGCAAGCCATGCACGCCACGCACGCCACGCACGCCAGGGACGCCACGCACGCCACGCACGCCACGCATGACACGCACGCCACGCACGCCACGCACGACACATACGACACGCAAGCCACGCACGCTACGAACGCCACGAACGCCACGCACGCCACGCACGCCACGCATGACACGCACGCCACGCACGCCACGCTCGACACGTACGACACGCAAGCCACGCACGCCACGAACGCCACGCAGGCCACGCACGCCACGCACGCCACGCACGCCACGCACGCCACGCACGCCACGCACGACACATACGACACGCAAGCCACGCACGCCACGAACGCCACGCATGCCACGCACGCCACGCACGCCACGCATGACACGCACGCCACGCACGCCACGCACGTCACGCACGCCTCGCACGCCACGCACGCCACGCACGCCACGCACGCCACGCACGCTACGCAAGCCACGCACGACACGCTCGCCACGCACGCCACGCATGACACGCTAGCCACGCACGCCACGCACGACACGTACGACACGCAAGCCACGCACGCCACGAACGCCACGCACGCCACGCACGCCACGCACGCTACGCACGCCACGCACGCCAGGGACGCCACGCACGCCACGCAAGCTACTTACGCCACGCACGCCACGCACGCCACGCACGCCACGCACGCCACGCACGCCACGCACACAACGCACGCCACGCAAGCCACGCACGCCACGCACGCCACGCACGCAACGCACGCCACGCACGCCACGCATGACACGCACTCCACGCACGCCTAGCACGCCACGCACGCCACGCACGCCAAGCACGCCACGCACGCCACGCACGCCACGCACGCCATGCACGCAACGCACGCAACGCACGCAACGCACGCCACTCACGCCACGCACGCCACGCACGCAACGCACGCCACGCAAGCCACGCACGCCACGCACGCCACGCACGCCACGCACGCAACGCACGCCACGCACGCCACGCACGCCACGCACGCCACCCACGCCCCGCACGCCACGCACGCACTCCACGCATGCCACTCACGCCACGCACGTCAATGTATATTTAACATAAAACCGTTTAACTTAAAAAGTTTTTTTACCTATTTTTATTTTCTAGTTTTTAGTTTTTATTCCGCATTCTGTTTAATTCATTTAGTGCTTCATTATTGCAAGGTTTCTTGCCCGTTAGTTTATGCAGTCCAACTCCTCTATACGTAGTCCTTGCAAAGATCTTACTCTACTAAGAGCCACGTAGGCTTGACCTTCTGCAAACAGTTTCGCACCTAAGTATACGACTGCGTGATCCACAGTGCTGCCCTGCATTTTATGTATTGCAGAAGCCCATGATAGTATTAAAGGCAACATTCTTCTTTCAGCCGTCCCGTAATTGTACTTAGCTGGAAACTGTATGGCTTTCGGGTGTATAAGATGTACTCCGTCTCTTGCGAAATTAATTCGGACGGAAGGTACACAAGCAGTCTCTTGTCATATCCTATAGAAAATCGGCATTCATACATTTGTAAACTTTGCCTGACGTTATGAAAGTTTCGTATCTCTAAATATCCTGTTTCATCCAGTTCAGTAGGATCAAGCTGGGTACGAATCCAGCAATATAAGGAGTCACCCGCTAACGTATTAGCATTCAGAATATTGACGTCCCATTGATTAGGGCTTAGGATTGCAGCTCGGACAATGTTCGCCAACGACATAGCACTACATTGTACACCAGCATATCGCGAAGTAAAGACGTTGTAGTCACCTTGATGCCATGAAGCTCGAATAATTCTTGCAACATTATTTAATTGGAATGAATGCATTTCGAATTTCATTTTCATTCCTTTCGGACGCTTCATCTTCAGACAATTCGGGCACACTAAGTCGTACTAACTCCTGGTCACTAATTTGGGCATTGTCGTCAATACGTACATCATTGTAAAGCGGGTTATTTCTGATTAACCATCTTAAAGCACTATAGACTTTTTCGCGACATATTGTGAATTCCCTGGTGATGTTCAAATTTTCTAATCGTTCGGTTACTACAATAATGCCTACCTGGCTTGCAGATCTTGGTAGCATACTAGGCAGTCTTTCACTGACTTCAAAGATATCTTGGGCAAATAAAACTGCCTGTCCGCGAAAACCGTACTGCCCATAGAGGCCACTAAATTTCACGATTTTAACAAAGGGAATTATTCTGCACAGCAAACGTTGTTCCGCCTGTGTCAATGTTTGAATAACGTCTGGTATAGAACCTGGATCCAGATTATTCCAGTAAGCTTTTGGTGGTGCTGTTGTTTTATTACTAGTAACATGTGTTTGACAGCGGGAACATAATAACAATGATATTTTCGAAGTTAACTCCACAGGTAAGTATGTTAATGCAGCAGCGTTGTACCGAACTGTACGAACTTGATTAAGTTAAAAGAATTATTTATTATGAACATATTATGCATGTTTTAGAAATTATTACTGGTGACGAGACATCTATCAATATTATTCGGATAATAAAAGGCAATCATCGATACGGGTCTACTCAGAAGGACAGTTACCGACAAAACTGCAAAGACCTCACAACGTCGGCAAAAAATGGTGTTTAGATTTTATTCACGGAGCGGATATTTGTCGACGTCATTGCTGGAAAATTGTAGGTCAGTCAACTCTGAATGGTATACTACAGTTGCATTACCCAAAGCTTTTCAAGCTGTGCGGGAGAGAAGACCAAAGCCCGGGGTTGGAGAATCATGCTACATCATGATAACGCCTCTTTACATACCTCCCTCAGAACAAAAGCATTTATTGAGGAATCTAGTGTTCAAATTCTAACTCACCCACCCTATAGCTCTAACTTAGCTCCTTGTGATTTCTTTTGGTCCAAGAGTCAAAGAAAAAATAAAATACAAGTTTTATTCAAGCGTCGAAGAAGCCGTGGCTGCATAGGATGAAGTGATTTCCGACCTGTCAGATCAAGACTGGCAAAAGTGTTTTGAGAGTTGGGCTTTAGGCTAATAGATCTTTGTATAGAGCATGATGGAGAATATTTTGAGAAGATGTAAAATAAATATTAATAGTGTCTAGAATACTTTTTGTATATCTCACAACTAATTGAGTGTCCCACGTAAAGGTTTAAGTAAAGTTTTTCACGGTCGATATTAACCAGTCCATGTTAAGTCATATTTTAATAGGTGCTTAACTGATTTGTCATCATTTACTGAGAACGCTTAAGCCGAGTTGAAATCGTCGGTTGACCCATTGCGTGAAGTAGAACTTGCTTCCGTGTATTTTGTATCAGCTATAATTAATTGAAAACATTGGTTGACGAAGAAATGTAGCTCAACATGCCTAGGGTAAGACGACATATAATAGGAATCACATATCGTCGGGTATTTGTGTCAAAATACAATATGGAAGCAAGGTGGTATCGTGTAATGTTTGGAAATGTTTCAAGTTTACTTCATGTCACTAGTTTAGGATCTTTCATACCAGTAGCTTAACAAAACACTATGGACTATATGTTGTATTATTATTACTAATTTTGTTTCATTTTGTAGAGTGTTTAATTAATACAATATAATTCATAAACAGGTTTTGTTTCTTTCAGTTAAGTTAACTGCTGTAGTAGCAACTTGATGGCCTTATAGATGGAAGAATCGACAACCGATGGGGAAGAAACGTTCCCAAATGGCATCCTCAAAAAAGTTAAAAAGTACAGCTATATCGCCATAACATTAGCTTCATTCATTTTTGCAGTTTTCTATATGCAGTAATAACTATAAAAAGTCAACTTAACTTCCGTTGCTAACATGACAAGCGCTGGAAGTGGCCGTCAGATTATGAGTCAAGCTCGAATTCATTGTGCGGGTTGGTCATATAATTCTGGTCTGGCTGCTTGGTAAGCGTAGGATAACAATTATAAGCAAACTTTGTGATTCGGTTTCGATGTTTTGGAACAAATCCCCCACTAAAATGTGTCAATAGGCCACGGCATCTACTATCCGCGATGGCGCGCGTTCATCAACTTGGTATAAAAAGAAGTTTCTTTATTAAAATTCTTCTATATATAATATAAAAATAAGGTTCTCTATTAAAATTCCTCTATATATGATATAAAAGTAAGGTTTCAGTTATTCACCACGCTCTCACAGCAAATCAGCGCAGAAATAGCAGCTTAATGCCGCTATGATCCATATGGTAAGTGAAGAGAACCAGAGACCCTGTTTACTAGAAATGAGGCAATCCATCTTTTCCGTAAACGTGATAGTACATTAGCATTTTGATTCTTAACCGAGATATGAATGTCTATGAGACACAGCGTCCACATACCATCAGTGGACTATGTGCTCTTTTGTAACCCTTATTTATCCAAAAATTTTTGAACATCATTAATTTATACATGGAGTTAATTTTTAAAGGTAAAAGCACGATCAAAACTGACTATAAATATAAATTAGACGTCCGTCATACATGGTATTGGAAAGCACTCGAAAATAATATCCATTGCGAATTTAGTCGAATCAAATTAAACGTTTTAATTACTTTTCCGGGGTAATTTTCAATTAAATTTGACGGATTCTCCTTGTTTTAATGTTTAAATACGTGTAGATAGGTAAATTAGAGTGTTTTGTACTTTTAGTTTGGCAACGACTAGGTGGAGGGACGATCTGGTAAGACATGCTTAAAGTCGATGGATGTAGGTGGTTCAAGAGGGCTCGTGCCTAATGATTTGATATTCTAATGCCTAAGTAGGTAGTGTTTTAACTTAATTTTAATTACCCAATTGAGATAATTGGTATTACCGATAGATTCAAAAAGTTTTATGCTAGTAATGGGTAAACCATCGAGTCGACCATAAGCAAATGCTATAATATAATACCCTTTTTTTTTTTTTTGCGGATGGAAAATCATCTAATGACCCCTTTCGCTCTGGGTGGAGCGTAAGGGAGTGTCAGACTTTTACTGACTAAAAACCATCCGTGTTCCTTCAGTGCCCTTACGTTCCGGAGCCGCGGTATCTCTTTCGAACAGCCCGCAGCCCCGGCAGGCGTCGGCCCTTGAGGGCCCCTTCACGCTGCTGACAGCTCTTTGAGGCGCGCGTGGAACAAAACGCGCCGTCGACACGGCCTGTCGTCATTAGACGGACGGACGACGAGCTACCCATTGCTCGCCGTCCACAGGCCCGCGCCTACGGTGGCCGGGGGCCACGACGTAGCCCCCGACGCCCGGGGCGTCTCCCGCGGCGGCCGGGGAGGAAAGCTGCTGCTCTCTCCTTCTCCCGCTCCGCCACCTCCTTCGCCAGCATCACTGCTTCGCAGAAGGTGGTGACGGCATCCCATTCCGTCTCGCTCCGGACCATGGCTTCGACCAGGGCCGGACGCGAGAGGTCGCCGCCGCCTATCGCCGCTACGAGGACCCGGCGGTGCTCCGCCCAAGCAGGGCACACCTCCACGGTGTGTTCCACCGTGTCCTCCGGTCCATCCTCGCAGTGGGAGCACCCGGGCGTTTCCTCCCGCCCGATTCGGTGCAGGAACCTCCCAAACACACCGTGTCCGGTGAGGACCTGCGTCAGGCGGAAGGTGAGGATGCCGTGGCGTCTCTCAAGCCACTCCTCAAAGAGGGGTCTTATCGCCGCTATAGTGGCGTGCCCAGCACGGGGTTGCGACAGTCGCTGTCTTCATATCGCCATGAGATCGTGCCGGAAGTCTGTCCGCTGCGCGACAACTTGCCGCGGCAGCGGGGTTTCCCCACGGCATAGTGCCTCTGCACGCCATTCGTGCAGGCGCGCGAGGACTATCGCCTCCAGATCCCATGGCGGCAATCCTGCAAGGAGGCTAGCCGCCTCGCGGGAGATCGTGCGGTAGCCGCGAACCATTTTCACGGCTATCACCCTTTGGGGCGCGTTCAGGTGGTGGACGGCAAGCCGCGCCAAACCACGCGCCCACACCGGGGCCCCGTAAAGGGCCATGGACCGCACGATCCCCGCGTAGAGCCTCCGGCAGGAGGCGTTTGGCCCTCCCAGGTTCGGCAGAAGCCGCCTGAAGGCAGCCCCGGTCCGTTCCAGTTTGGGAGCCAAACGTCGGAAGTGCTCAACGAAGTTCCATCGGCCGTCGAGGACGAGTCCTAGGTACTTCAGCGTCGACTCGACGTCGATGGATACCCCTCCTACCATCACTGAGGATCCCGGTGGTGGCCTGTTCCGAGGACCATGGAAGTGCATGGCCTCGGACTTGTGCAGAGCCACCTCGAGACCCAGTTGCCGAATCCTCTCAACGACTATCGCAACCCCGCGTGTCATATTTTCCGCCGCCGCCTCGTACGACCCCCCCTTGTGCCAGTACCAGCGTGTCGTCAGCGTAGCAAACTACGCTGACGCCGGTAGGGAGGTCGGCGCGCAGCACCCAGTCGTAACCGATGTTCCACAGAGGTGGCCCCAGAACCGAACCCTGTGGGACACCGCACGACATCTCTCGCCGGTTCCACTCACCGTTGCGACCGGGGTAGATGACGGCCCTGTCCGTCAGGTAGTCCCCGACTATACGACGGAGATAGGTCGGCACCCGGTGATACCGGAGTGCCTCCCTAATGCAGCTCCAGGGCATGGAGTTGAAGGCGTTGGCGATGTCGAGAGACACCGCCAAGACAACCCCCCTCTGGCCACTGCATCCCCCGTCGTGAGGGCTCTCACGCGCATGATGGCGTCCACCGTAGAGCGCCTCTTGCGGAAACCAAACTGGTGTTCCGCAAGATCCGGCCCCGTCCCCGCAAGGTGCTCGGCGAGGCGGTTTGCAATGACTCTTTCAAAGAGCTTGCCCACCTCGTCGAGCAGCACCACGGGCCGGTATGCGGACGGAGAGTCCGCAGGGCGCCCCGGCTTCCGAATGAGGACCAGCTTCCCCGTCTTCCAACGAAGCGGGAATTGGCCTCTCTCCAAGCATGCGCTTAGGAGCCCCCTCCAGTCGGGGCCCGAGAGCCTCCGAGGCCAGGACCCAGGCTTTGCCAGGCAAGCCATCGGGTCCTGGGGCGGTATTCCTGGCCTTGAGCCTACGTACCGCCACTCTCAGGTCTACCCCCGGTCCCTTCCGGGATGTCGTCGTCGTCGTCCTGGTGGTCCGCTTCCGGCACCGCAGGTGGCGGAGCCATAGGCGGAGGTGGATGTTCCCGTCGCGCAGGGAACAGAGCGCTCACCACGTCCTCCACGAGCTGGGGCCGGAGACTTTGCGTCAGCGGGGGGCCCAGGTGCGGATTTTATCCCGCACCATCTTGTAAGGGCGCCCCCACGGATCTCTGTTGAGAGTCTCCAGCATCTCCTCACGGGCCCGATCCCGGGCCCGCAGGACAGCCTCCCGGAGGGCGTTCTTCGCCGCTCTGTATCCCTCGTACAGCTCCGCATCAATGGCTGCCGCAT